GGTAACTCAGCTATGTGCACAAAAAAGGACAAGTCTTACAGTGTGGCTGCTGGCAAAGGTATCTTGGAGGTAAGCTGGGGCTTGGGGTCCAGAGTTAAGCTTGCTGAGACAGAGGAACAAAAGGTGGGCAGAGAGGGCAGCGCGAATGAGACTAGGTCTAGGTGATGGGTGTCAAATAAAGAGAATAAAATTAGTAACATTTAGAAATAAATAAAAAGTATTCTCTGAGGTTCTCCCTTGAGCAATGAAATGCTAATCTTATTTAAACACGAAATGAGAGTTAAAATGTTAAAGATGTGTTGTTTTTGGCTATGAGAGAACCTTATAACAAAATTTTTTATTCTCCAGATGAGGATACAGAAGCCCAAAGAGACCTTTCACCTACCCCACCCCCAGCTTGTCAGTGAATGGGCAGCCCCAGCACAACTCACTCCTCTGACTCAAGTACACTGTTTTGTCACACAGTCTCTTGAACAAGTATTTATCACTGGCTTTCATTTATCGCAATAAAATGCTCTTCCTTCCATATTATATAAGACATTATATTTTATTATAGTAAATGAATAGTAGAAATAGAAAATCTCAGCTGCTTTTTATTGCTTAAGAAAATAAAACACTGAAATCTTATTCTAAACTTTTTACATTATGGTAAAGGAGATTTATAATAGGTGCCTGCCAGGTTTGATTATAGGTACTATATCAAGGACAGCATTCTATAACCCATTCCTCAGATCTCGCCTGTGGAAGTTAAAGTATCTAACATGATACCACATTCAAGCAGTTCACAGAACATAAGAAAAATTATAATGCTTAATCAATTGACATTTCAACTAAGGAAAAACTACACTTTTATAGGTTTAACTTACTGTGACATTTTCTTCTATTTTCCTTCCCCTTCATGTATCTCCTGGGAGCCTTACTAAACAGTATAGCTCATGCTCAACAATATTTCTAGATGATAGCACAGTCAGCCAGCCTAACCTCAGAACCATAGTACAATGGTGACTACAACTAGGTTGCCAAGGGGTGAGTGACAGACCCCCTTCTGCTAAAAGCATCCTAGTCATACGTAATTTCAGCCATTTGATTGGCCTTTTCAGTGATCAGGTTAATAAGCTGGTGTCAGTTATATATTAATTTTGAGAACCTAAATGTGAACTTTGAACTTCCATTTTAATCTTAGAGTAGATGAATGAAGAGAAAATCAGTTAGCAAATAAGAAATCCCAGAAAAAAGTATTTATCTTTATTTGCTGAATTTCAGTTGATAAGACATTGTTGAACATAATGGAGAGGCACTTTTTACTGAATGTTTCTAGGAAAAAAAGGTATATATTTATGAGATACAGGCCTGCTCTGGCTGGCATGGCCCACTGGTTGTAGCACCATTCTGTGAACTGAAAGGTCACAGGTTCAATTACCGGTTGGGGCACATGCCTGGGTTGTAGGTTCAGTTCTGGTTGGGGCATATATGAGAGGTGTCTGAACAATGTCTCTCTCCCTCTCTCCCTTTCTTCCCCTCTCTCTAAAATCAATAAGCATTTCCTCAGATAAGGTTTAAAAAAAAAGAGAGGACAAGAGAGAGAGAGGCCTGAAACAATGCATAGTACTTTGGAAGTTATTCTTGGAAGAAGTAAAAGCTCATCCCCTACTGTCATTAGAGTATATCTGCATTTAAATTTAATAGTATTTTGTCAGATTTACACCACCATACATTTTTTTCCTGCATTGCTTTTGTATAAAAATTCACTTCTCCTTCCTATCCCCAAATAGGGGGACAATGCATCACACCAGTCTTAATGAACAAGTTTTCAAGTTAATTTCTTTGTGGATATAATTTTTCCAACTCAGATTGTAGTTTCATAGATATATGAAATGTAATTATGTATATATGTACACACACACACAACACAGGTGTGGGCAAAAGGAGGTTTACAGTTGTGAATATGTGAAGTTTATTTTTGCATTATTATTTATTAATTATTGTATTATTCTTCATATGAACAACTGTAAACCCACTTTTGCCCCACCCTGTACGTGTAATTGGAGACCCAGAAGGAGAACAAATAGTGGGAAAAACAGAAAAGTATTTTAAGGCAACAAGGCTAAAACAATTTTAAATTGGATGAAAACTATAAACTAACAGGTCCAAGAAGTTCAACAAAATCCAAGCACAAGACAAATGAATGAAACTATACTAATGCACCACATAATCAAATTGTTCCAAACTAGTGATAAAAAAAATTTTTAAAACAGTCAAGAAAAACAAAAGGACATTATATGTACATAGAAGGATAAGGATGACATCAGATTTCTCATTGGAAATAAAACAGGCAAGAAGATAGGCAACATCCTCAAAGCTACTGAAAGAAGAAAGAAAAAAAAAACATTGACCCAGAATTCTATACCTAGCAAAACTATCTTTCAAAAATGAAAGTAAAATATTGACTTTTTCAAAGTCAAAAAAAGCTAGTAAAGTATATCACCAGCACATCTGCACTGTAAGAAATGTAAAAGGAAGTCCTTCCAACAGAAGGAAAGTAATAATACATGGAAATGTGGATTCACACAAAGGCATGAAGAACACCAGAAGTGATAACTGTTTAAGCAAATATATAAATTTTTTCTTTATACTTAATCTCTTTAAAGGATATTTGACTATTTAAACAAAAATGATAGCAATGTATTGTGGAGTATATAACATACAAATAACCAAAATGTATGACACCAACAGTATACAGACTGGGGCAGGGGGAAGTAAAGTATACTATTTATGCTGCACAAGGTTCTTATACTCTATGTGAGCTGGTATAATATCACTTAAAGATAAACTGTGATAAGTAAAAAATGGATACTAAAACCTTGAAGTAATCACTAAAATAACACAATAAAAAGTTGTATACAAATGATGTACAGTAGAATTGTATACCAGAAACCTACATATAAAGGAAAAGTTATAGCTAATAAGCCAGCAAAGAGACAAAATGGAATCAAGAAATTCTCAATCTGAAAGAAGTCAGAAAAAGAAGACAAGAAAACAAAAAGCAGATATAACAAATAGAAAGCAAATAGTTAGATAGATTTAAAACTAACCACATTAATAATCACATTAAATGTGAATAGTCTAAACAATAGTTTAAAAGGCACAGATTGTCAGACTGGATAAAAATGCAAAATCCAACTATCTACTTTCTACAAAACAAAACAAAAACCACAATTTAAATATACAGATACAAATAAAGTGTAAAGAATTAAAAAATATATGCCATGTAACCCTAAGCAAAAGGAAGTTGAATATCATTAATATCACACATAGTATATTTAAGACCAAAGAATATCATCACAATTCTTTTATAATTACAAAGGGATCTATTCATTAACTGACTATAAAAATTCTATGTTTAAGTACCCAATAACAGAACTTCAAAATCAATGAAGCAGCCTCTGGCTGGTGTGGCTCAGAGGACTGAGCACTGGCCTGAGAACCAAAAGGTTGCTGATTCGATTCCCAACCAGGGCACATGCCTAGATTGTGGGCCAGGTCCCCCACTGTACTACAAGAGGCTTTTCCTTCAGAAGATAATTCAGTGTTCTTTTGGGTCCCCCCTCATATACATATATACATGTTGTGACTGTGTGAAATGGAATATTATTCAGCCACAAAAAAGAGATCTTGCCATTTGCAACACCTTGGACATTAGAAGCAATTATGCTAACTGAACTAAGTCAGACAGAGATAGACAAATACCATGTGATTTCAGTTATATGTGGAATCTTTAAAAAAAATGAACAAATAAATCAAAGGGGAAACAGACTCACATATACAGAGAACAAACTGATGATTGCCAGAGGAGTGGGGAGTAGAGGGATGGGTACAAACCTCCAGTTAGAAGGGGAACAATGGGTACAAACCTCTGGTTAGAAAAATAGTCAATATTATTGTCATAACTTTGTGTGGTGATAGACAGTAGATTTATTATGGGGATCACATCATAAGGAATGTCAAATCACTATCTTTTATACCTGAAACTAACACAATATTATATGTCAACTATTTCAATTAAAAATTTAAAAATAAGTAAAGTGAGACATAGTCTTGGTTTAAATTTCAGCTCTGCCATTTAATACCTGTGTGACTCTGGACAAATTATTTAACTTCTCTAAGCTCCTACTCTCACACTCATAAAACAGGGATACCTGAATCTCCCTTGCAGGCTTGCTGTGAGAATTAAAAGCATTTCCCAAAGAGCTTGCCATGATGCCTGATGTAGAGTAGGCTATCAACAAGTGGCATAAATTATTAAAAGAAAATATATAATCATTACTGAAAAAATGAGCACATGAGGACCTTCAGAAACAACAAATAAAGTCAGTAACTTCAGAAACTGGAACACCCTTAACACGTGAAAAATCTATCATTTTTAGGTTAACTAAGGTACTGCTTTAAAGTTATCATCAGAGAACTTGGTAAAGAATATGAAGCTATCAATTTAAATAATATTTACTTAGCACTCATACAATAAGCCCAAAACTATGAGGAATATAACAAAACATGGCATGATCCACATCCTCAAGTAGTTTACAAGCAACCCAAACCATATGACAATATATTATGTCTTATCTAAAATACAGGTTCTTAAAAGAAATGTGCCAAAACACAGGCCTATAAAGTAGAATGGTGGTTGTTAGGGGTTGAGGGTAAGGGAGTCCTGAGAGTCACTGTTTACTGGATAAAGTTTCAGTTTTACAAGATGAGAAGTGCTGGAGTTAAATGGTGGTAATGGCATCACCACCTTAAAAATGCATTAACACCACTGAACTTAAACTTAAAAATGACTAAGATGGTAAATTTTATGTAATATGTACTTCACCACAATTTTAAAAAATAAAAGTAAAAGGTAAATGTGCCAAAAATAGACTAACCTAGAAAAAAATTGTGAAAACAGTTACACAATGAATTTCTACAAAGATTTTTAACTGGGTTACAAATCTAGCACTTACCTTCACATTTAAAATGGTAACATTTTCCGAGCAATAATACAGGGGAATTTCTACTAAAATATGTCTTTGTTTTCAACACCCAACCTAAACAAGAAAAGAGAAAAACTCTTTTGCAGTTAGAAGATTAAGTACTAAAAGGCTAGCAACATTTTCTTTTATTTAATTTCAAATAATCAATTCTCAACTACAGATGTGTAATTTTTTGCAAGAATAGCAAAATATTTCAGCAATGAACTGAAAATAGAGGCCATTTATACTCTTTTATAATGTAGTTAAGTATTTTAACCACATTCTATCCACTTAAAAAATGGGAGAAAAAAACTTGAATTTTAATTTATTTTCAAATGGATAACAATGTTCTTACAGTATAAAATCTAAAGGCACAAATATTACTCCAGTTTTCTTGATACCAACCTGTTTTCCCAAAGGCAATAAGTGTTACCCATGTCTTCTATTTCCTTCCATCTTAGTTAATTAAAAGATTTAAAGTATTTGAATATTCCAAGGAAGTAATTTAGAAAAAAGATCAGACAATACAGTGGTGTTTATGATAAAAGTGGACCTCAAAAGTGTCCTGGGGAAATCTCTTATAACCCCATCACGTTGGCCAAATGAGGATCTCTGAAAATAGTAATATGAAGCTTCCAGACATCCTCATCTCAATTTACAGAATGTTCTGCTTTCTTTTAATAATTTAGTTTTAGCTGGCCATTTTCATTTTATCTTTACAAAAGCTTATAAGAAATGTACCACTACCCCTGGCTGTTGTGGCTCAGTGGATTGACTGAAGGGCCACTGGTTCAATTCCCAGTCAGGGCACATGCCTGGGTTGCGGGCTAGGTCCCCAGTTGGGGGAGCATGAGAAGCAACCACATTGATGTTTCTCTCCCTCTCTTTCTCCCTTCCTTTCTCTCTGTAAGAAATAAATAAAATATTTTTAAAAGAAAGAAATGTACCACTATCTCTGCCCCAGCTTCTTGATGCCAGGAAACTATGGTACAGAGAGAGTAAAAAATAGAAGATATAAAATCCATAGAGGCATGGGATAACTTAGTCTGGGCATATATAGGAAAGAGCCATGAATAAGTTCTTGTATATATTGAAAAGAACATTTTCATTGGAATTCTTCTGTTCTTCAATCTCTTCTGCTCTTTACCTCTAAATCTTAATCTATAGCAGCAGGGAGGTGGGAAAGAGACAAATTAAATGTCGTTATGATTTCTAAATGAAACTAATTAAATAAAACTGAGTAAGTTAAGAAAAGCAAGCAAATTTAGAAAACGAGTCATTCAATAAATTGACACAGCAGTGATTGTCTATGACTATTGATCAAAAGGAAGATGAGGAAAACTTTATGGGGTGAAAGTTATTTTAAATATATTGATTACATTGTTAGTTTCATAGGAGTATATATGTGTCATACTTTCTAAATTGTATATTTAAGATTCATTCATTTTACTTTGTTAACTTTCCCTCAATTATAAAAAAGCACTTAAGAGATGAAGTAAGTCCACGTTTCAGTTATCTGTTCCTATTTAACAGATCACTCCAAAACTTAATAACTTGAACTGAAAACTCTGTGTCTTATATGGGAGTTCTGTGGGTTGACTGGGCTCATCTGAGCAAATCTCCTGCTGGGTTGCTCAGAGTTTTTAATGTAGTGAACATCAGATGGAGAAGCTCAGCTGAGACAGAGGTGACTCTCTTACACAGTCCCAGGGCCTTTCTTCTTCATGTGGCCTTTCCACATGGTTCCTCCTGCAGGGCACCTAAACCGGTTCCGTGACAGTTCAGAGCTCCAAAACAGAGCCAGTAGAAGTTGTCTTTCAATGAGTAGGCCTAGAACGGAGACAACCTCTATCTCATTCTATCAGTTAATGTATGGCACAGGCCAGCCCGGATTCTCTTAGAAAACGAGACAACTCAGATGTGATTCACTGAGGACCATCTTTGGAGACTACCTACATAAAAAGAATGTTACCAAAAAATCAATAGTCCATTAAGTCATGGATTTGAAAATCACAAATAAGGCTTTAAAAGATGCAAACAAGCCAAAAAGCATAGACATGATTTACTTATTTATATTTTAAAAAGGAAGTCAAGTTATCCCTGGCCAAGTCGCTCAGCTGGTTGGAGCATTGTCCCATACACCAAAATGCTGCAGGTTTGATTCCAGGTGACGGCACATATCTAGGTTGCAGGTTCGATCCCTGTTCAGGGTGTGTATGGAAGGCAACTGATTGATGTTTCTTTCTCACATCAATGTTTCTCTCTCTCTTTCTTTCTCTCTCTCTCTATTTCTCTCCACCTCCCCTTCCTCTCCCTCTCTAAAACCAATAAACAAATCCTTGGGTGAGGATTAAAAAATATATAATAATAAAAAATTTTAAATGAAGCTGGATCTGTATCTCACATTATATGTAAAAATGAACTCAAAATGAATCAAAGGTCTAAATATGAGAACCAAAATGATAAAAACTGTGCAAAAGAAACAGGCATAAATCTTCATGATTGTGATTTAAGCAGCAGTTTCTTAAATATGACATCAAAATCACAAGCAATAGGTAAATTGGACATCATCAAAATTTAAAGTTTGGTGCCTCAATGAACACCACCAAGAAAGGTAAAAGACAACCCAAGAAAAGGAGAAAATATTTACAAATTATATATTTGCTAAGACATTTTAATCTAGAGTATATAAAGAACTCTTATAACTCAATAATAAAAAGACAACCCAATTAAAATGCACAAAGGATTCGAATAAACATTTCTTCAAGAAATATATACATATAAATGGCCAATAGGTGCATGAAAAGATGCTTAACATCACTGTTCATCAGAGAAATGCAAATCAAAGTCACAGTGAGATATTACTTCACAACCACTAAGATGGTTCTAATAAAAAAAATGGATAATAACAAGTATTGGTGAGGATGTGGAATAATTCAAGCCCTCAAATATTAAGGATGGGAATGTAAAATGGTGCAGCCACTTTGGAAAACAGTTTGGCAGTTCCTCAAAAGTTAAACGTGATCCAGCAATTCTACACCTAAGTATATACCCAAGACAACTGAAAACATATATTCACAGAAAAACTTGTACGCAATGTTCATAGCAGCACTATTCATATTAGCCAAAAGTAGAAACAGTCTGAAAGTCCATCAACTGATGAATGAGTAAAGAAAGTGTATAACCATAAAAAGAAAATTATTCATGTAAAAAAATGAAATATGGATATATACATGATACAACATGGATGAACTTTGAAAACATTATATTAAGTGAAAAGAGTCAGACACAAAAGGCCACAAGTTGTATGATTTCACTTACATGAAATGCCCAGAACAGGGAAATCCATAGAGATAGAAAATAGACTGGTGGTTGACAGTGGCTGGAAGTAGCTGGGAAGGAATAGGGAATAGCTGCTAATGGGTATGGGGTTGCTTTTGGGGTAATAAAAATGTTCTGGGGGGCACAGGACAGTGGAGGTGGGTACAGGAAGGAAAAATAGTGATGGATGGAGACTTGAATTGGGGCGGTAAATGCACAATACATGTACTGATGATGTGTTGTAGAATTGTGCACCTGCAACCTATATAATTTTGTTAACCAATGTTACCCCAATAAATTTAATAAAAAGGAAAAAATATTTCTAGAATTAGATAGTGATGATGGTTGCACAACTGTGTGAATATACTAAAAACCACTGATTCATACACCTTAAAAAAGTACATTTTATAGTACATAAATTGTATCTCAACTTTAAAAATTAATGTTCATAATTTTCAAAATGTAGGATGATGTTATTATCAAATTATAACTGTCTAAATAGCTAGCTAACAATGACTTCCAGTGAACCAACATGTTTTACCTGAATTTGGAATATCAAGGAATTTCACTAAATTTGATCATTTTTATTTTATGGATATGAACTTCTTCCTGTTGAAACTAGTTCTGCTGAGTATTTCTCCTCTTTCTTTATCTTTTATTTGTTTCTATTCTGAAATGGGCTTCAAAACTACCACATGGCCTTTGGCCAAATGGCAGGGGGTTAGGACACTGGGTGACAAAGGTAAAGGCATTAAGAAATACAAATTGGTAGTTACAAAACAGTCACAAGGATGTACAGTACAGCATAAAGAATACAGTCAATAATATTGTAGTAACTATGTTATGTGCCAGGTGGGTACTAGACTTAGTGGGACTATCACTTTGTAAGTTATATAACCAGCATAGTGATTGTAAGTTATATAACTTACATATAAGCTAGTGCTTATCTTACTTACATAACTTACATAAACATAGTGCTTATATAACTTACAACCACTATGCTGGTTATATAACCTATAACTACTATATAAGCACTATAACTTATAACCACTATACAACCACCTGAAAATAATATAATGTTGAAAGTCAGCTGTAAGGAAAAAAATTAAAATTACAAATAAAAAGGGATAAACTACAAAAATAAAACCACTATATGATCCTTACTGGATTTGTTTGCAAACCAAGAGTAACTAGGCTTAAAAATGAGGATCTGAGGGTACTTCTAGGAGCATGCAGCGGCCTATTTTGCTTGCTCCCTAGTTCATATATGAGGTTGCATAAAATTTAGTCTAAAAATGGAGGTATTACCATCACCTGAGTAAATTCTGTTTGGAATATTAGTAAAAAAAAAAACAAGACCACATAGTATGCTTGAATTTCTAAGCATTATTTATGGTGACATTTGGCTGTTTCTTCAGGAGATATTCTTATCTCTATTCTTTAAATAAATATTTAATTCAATAAGAAACTTAAGCAACTGTCAGTGACTTAATAAGGAGGACGATGCACATCTTCAAGTATGGCTTTGGATTTACACAATTTTAAAATCACAATACTTACTATATTTCATGTTGTTCCAAGCAGATATAAATTTAGTTTTTAGTTTGTCAACTTCTTCTGTTCCTGTGGCCTCCATATTCAAATTCTAAAGAAAAAGCCATCACTTGATTGCATCCTTCCGTAGAGTTTAATCTTCTATACTGACTGAAAGGAAAAAATTAAAGAAAAACAAGTCCATATTAAATGGTACAATACCTGCTAAAGTTTTTTAAGTGACTAAATTAAATTTGAACTTGAAATGAGCAAACCAATTTCTCATTCTACAGAAGAGACTACAATATATTCAATAAATATTTTACATAAAAAGGCCATCTAATACCAAATACAAACAATATACATTTTCACACAAAAGTAGACAATAGGCAAGGTGGCAAGGTATACCAGTTGGTTAGAGGGTCATCTTGATATGCCATAGTTGCAGGTTGGATCGCTGGTCAAGGCACATGCAAGAATCAACCAATGAATGTATAAATAAGTGCAATAACAACAACAACAAATCAATCAATCTCTCTCCCCACCCCCACCCAAATCAATTAAAAAAAAACCTAAACAATAACCTCCCCCAAGTATTCATAATTAAAAACAGTAACAAAGCTCAACTTCAAGGTTTGTTTTATTTGTAATTAGAGGTTAATTTCAAATCTTATTTCAAATGGTGACTATCTTCAGAATGGAGGCATCCACTCATATTGTTTAAGTCACTACTTTCATATAAAACCTAAATATTTTGTTTTAATTTTAAAATTAAGGTAGTTCCTAATACTGCAGCATTTAAACAAACAGAATGGCTTAAATTTACAACAGAAAATGTTTTTTTACTTTAAAATAAGAATAAATGTAGCTCATAACTGTTTGTTTTATAACTAACTTTACAGAAAATAGAGATGTGTAATATAATCTGAAAGAAGAATAAATTATAACTGAAAATGTTTGAGCTTATATGCAATAATTTACAGACAGTTTACTTTTCAAGAAAAGAATGCTGCACGGAACATTACCATTTTAGGATTATAAATATCTGCTCAAAAGTACTGATGCATTCTTTTCCCTAACAATAGACATTTCATTTTACAGTATGTACTGGGTTGGCCAAAAGGTGCATATGGTTTTCTCTGTAAAATAAGACAGATTTTCACTAATAACTTTATTGATTTGGGTCTTGTGAGTATGTAGGCTATCTCCCACTATTGGTTTCTAGTGGATGGAGGCCAGGGGTACTGCTAAACATCTTCCAATGCCTAAGACAGCCCCACAGCAAAGAATTATTTGGCCACAATTTCAATAGTACCAAGAAACTTCACAAACCATTTTTGACAGGCTCACTCAGTCAGCACTTCCATATGCTGCACAAATTTTTTTTATTTCAGTTGCGTTTTTACCTTTCTTGAAATAATAAAGCATAATACACTGAAAATGTTGCATATCTTCTTCCATCTTCAATATTAAAATGGTAGCACAAAAATTCACCAGTTTTGGTAAGGTTTTTTTTTAATGCACACTGATATGACAGCTATCACAATACAATCTAACAAAATTGTTTCAAATGAAGTTCAAGACAACCAAGCCCTACCAGAACCATTGTAGTAAGAAAAAAATGTAACAGACTTTTTGGCCAACCCAATATTAAAAGCAACTAATTATACATTATAGCTGAGGCAGGAGAAAGCATGGTCCACTGGAAGAATGTAAAAACCAATGTGACTAGAGCCCAGAAAGTAAAAAAAAAAAAGTGGTACCAGATATAACTACAGGGCTAGACAGGGGTCAGAGTACACTGAGCATTGTAGATCATGTTAAGAATTGTGTTCTTTATCCTAGGAGCAACTGGTTTCAAACAGAAATATCAGAATCAGACTCTATGGGCTTGTTTGACTCCAAAAGCAGCAAAGAAAAGAAACTGAAGAGGGACAAGAGTAGATGGTGAGAGAATACTACTATGTTCAAGAGTATAAGAAAAATGATAGTAGCTTGTACCGGAGCAGTGGAGTTGGAGAGATACAGACATGAGGAAATGGGTCAAAAATTCAGTTAAGTTTTGGTGATAAAATGGATGTGGAAGGTGAGATACAGGGATATGCCAAAGATACACCCAGCCAGGTTCCTGGCTTGTAAAACTAAATACATGATGCCAATCATTGAAATAGGGAGCACTAGGACAGGGGCAGGTTAGAGGCAGAAGATTATGAATTTGATCTATATGGTGTTTGAGATTCCTCTGTGACATTGGGTAGAGAATCATTATTTACTTAATCACTTGATAAATTATTGTTAGGCACTATTCTAGGCAATGGAGATAAGGCTTAAAACAAAGGCAGTGAAATATGGCAGGTCCTTGAATAAAGTAATTTCGTTCAACGTCATTTAGCTATAATGATGAAATGCCGTAGGAACTTAACTCTTGTTTTACCAATTAACCTATGGGAAAATTGGTTTAATTATATGTCATTTCACTTAAAGCTGCAGAACTTATCAAAAACAGGAAGTGAGGACTACTGTATTGTGTTGGCCAAAAAGTAAGGTTTTTCCTGTAAAATAAAAGACACATTTTTCATTTTTACCAATGACTTTACGGATTTTAATATTTTGAGTATGTCAACTATCTCCCATGTGGTATAACATTGATGTTCTCAATTAATGTCGCAATTTAATTGCTATCAACCCTAACTGACAGACCTAACCATGAAGCATTGTCCAGTGAAAAATCTCCACCGTGAAATTTCCCAAACCACTTCTGACACATTTGGTTAGCCACAGCACCTTCTCCATACACTGCACAAATCTTTTCAGTTGCGTTTTTACCTTTCTTGAAATAATAAAGTATAATATGCCAATAATGTTGCATATTTTCCTCCATCTTCAATATAAAAATGACTACACTAAAATTTACCAATCTGATGCTTTTCTAATGCACACTGATATGAGAGTTATCACAATACAATCTAACAAAAATTGTTTTGAATGAAGTTAAAGACAACTAAGCACTACTAGAGCCATCTTACAGAGAAAACCAAATAAACTTTTTGGCCAACCCAATATATTCTAGAGAAGACAACCAGGCAGTTGGATTATATAGATCTGGAGCTCAAGTATGAGGTCTAGGCTAGAGCTATGAACTTCAGCATTGCTGATGTACAAATGAGAATTAGCCTTGTTCGTATTTGTACACGCAGCCTTGATGATGATATTCAAGGTCTTTCATAAAATGCCATCTGCCCACTTACTCAGCTTCCTCTCCTACCACTCCCTCACACGCACCATATACCAAAGGCATTTTTAATACTAATATTAAAGCTTCCTAAAGTTGACATGCTGATACCCCCGTACATTCGCATATGTTGTTCCCCCTACCTAAATGCCTTCCTGCTCACCCTCATTTTTTGATTACCTTATTATCTTGACTCCCTAAGAGCCAGCTTCAGTTTCACCTCCTCTGGTAAGACTGGTAAGATTTATTCCCTCATCCAAACCTCAAACTAAGACAGATGCCTCTCCTTTTACCTCTCATAGAATCCTTCCTCAATCACAGCACTCATCTCATTGGATTGTAATTACTTATCTCTTACTTGCCTCTAACACTAGAAAATAAACTTTTTGAAGTTCCTTAATTTCTACCTGACATGTGATTGGTTCTCAAAATATTCTTATTAAATGAATCAGTGAACTGAGAAATTAATGAAATATAGGTATATCATTAGCAGCACTTTTGCCAACTATAATTAGAACTTTTTTAACCTGACAACTAGAATAAAGGAAAAATTTTCTTCCTCCAGAAATCTGCATAATTCAAGAGAATTTGGAAAAGAAGGAAAAGGGTTTAATGAAATGTGTGAATTATGTACAGTGCATCCACATGATGGGCTCTATAGCCATTTAAAATGTCTCCAAAGAGTTTGTGAAAATGGGGAAACACTAGGCAGAATCTAAAACTTTATGTGTCATATGATACTGATGCACTGGCACAGGAAGGGGGGTTAGAAAGATGTACACCAAAATAGTGACAGTAGTTTTCCTAAATGTAAAATCATGTGTGGTTATTTTTATATCACTATTGTCTAACTTTTCCAAATCTTACACAAAGGATACACATAGTTTTTAAATTTAAAAAGCTTATTTTTTACAAAGCCACCATGAATCTTCTAAATCTAAAATGTTTTCAAAAAGGGACTATACATGTATGTATTTTCTTCCTAAGTCAGAACAAAAGTGGGTCACAGGCAAGAATTTGATTCAAACAGTTCCCAGCACCAGTTACCAGGTACCTATGGACAGTCCTTAACAAGTGTGTGAAAATCAGGGTCTTGGCTGGGTACTCAGTTGATTAGAGCACTGTCCCCTAGAACACTGACACTAGCGTTGCGTGTTCGATCCCCAGTCAGGGCTCAAACCAAGATCAACCAAGGAATGCATAAATAAGTGGAACAACAAATACCAATGTCTCTCTCAATGTCTTTCTCTCTCCTTTCCTCTCTCTCTCTAAAAATCAATTTAAAAAGAAAAATAGAGTGTGTAAACCAAGATGCCTTAAAGTGGGTGGAGGAAAAAAGAAGACAAAGTGAGATATTTTGAATGGGGAAAGTCCGTATCTTTGATAATGACTCCTAAATAAATAAATAACCAAGGTAAGATGCTGCGATAGACACAGGAATTAAAGAGACAAATATTATTGACTATTCTACAAGAATACTTTTATTCTATAAGAATACTATCACTATTATAGAAAGCAGCTGAGAACAATAAAATTACCATTAGGTAAAACTAGTTATGCTGTTAACTTAATAATTCAGTATAGTGCCTTTTCATATAACTAAAATTGAATTCCAGTCTTCTGTAAAGACAGAAACCCACTTTTATTATCTATAACAAAATTTAAATGACTATTTCTAAAAATCTTAACTTAAAGCAGAGACTAATTTAAAAAGTGATCCTTCAATCATGTTGGAAAGTATTATTAATTGAAACACTTGAAAAAGTGAGGAGAAGATTTGCCTTACTGCATATCAAAACATATTATAAAATTATAGTAATTAAAGTTTAGTACTACTTAAATTTATTATTTTTATAGCAATGGGTGACACTGAATAAAATATAATAGGGAATACAGAAATAAATCCAAGGATATTTGAGAATTTAGTAACTGATATGAA